ATCTGGGACCAGGGCAGGCTGCACCCTAGGGGGGCTGTGTGCACCCGCGTGCCAGGGTTCTGACCCCATGCACGCGTGGGAGATGGGCTTCAGAGGCACAGTTTTGTGTGTGTGCGTGCGTGTGTGTGGAGCCAGGCTCATGTGGCGTGGCTGTGTGTGAACCATGCTGGGCCCGCCTGAAGGTACACGTGGCTAGAGATGCTTAGGTGACTGCGGACTGCAGTCCGGAAGTGGAGGTACACACATGTAGGCAGGCAGATGTGGGGGGGTATATATCGTTGTTTTGCTTTTCTTTTTCTTTTTTTTTGAGAGAGAGAGAGAGAAAGAGAGAGGGGAGGGGCAGAGGGAGAGAAAGAGAGAGAGAATTCCAAGAAGGTCCCATGCTCCACGCAGAGCCTGATGTGGGGCTCGATCCCATGACCATGAGATCATGACCTGAGCTGATACCAAGAGTTGGATGCTTAACCGACTGAGCCACCCAGGCGCCCCTGCTTCGTGTAGTTCTGTACGCTTGTTGGAGGATGCCTTGTTGTTTAGATGTTTGTGAGTGATCGTGTTTATTTTGTACTCACAGACTCAAGTGCTCACGTGTTCAAACAGGTCTGTAGGCATTATGCCCTGGAATTTAGAGTTTGTAACTGACTGCTCCTGAGGCTACACATGCTTTCCCATGCAAGCATGCAAATGTGCAAATGGCAGTATGAATGTGTGCCTGGGGCTAGGAGTTCGTGCGCACAAGCCCAACTGAGGGGAGACACATATACGTACCGGGTAACCGCATGGGAGCGTCATGAATGTGTACGAGTGCATGCTTGCATGGGACATTGGAAGCGTATCAGCGGACACACATGCACACGCATGTAAGAGAACACACCTATGGAAGGTACGTGTATGCTTTGTGTACCAATGTGAGTGCACCCGTGAGAGCTGGCCTGCAGCCCCCGTGGAGTGCGCGGGCACGTGAGCACACGTGCAGAGCTGCAGATGTGCTCTGTGTGCATGGCTGTGAGCAGGCATGGGTCCGCACTGTGCACCCGGGTGGGAGCACGTCTGAGGGTCCACATGTGCAGACACCCACGTGCTCGGGCGCCCATGTGCACACACTGAAGCGTAAACCCTCTGCCCTCAGAGTGAGGGCTGACAGGGTTACATTTTCCAAAGGCTCCGCGGCCAGGGACAGAGCTGGCCCCGAGAGCGCTTGCTGGCAGGAGGTAAGTGGAGCCGCTGATTCGTGACCCAGGGGTGGGCCGTGCTGACGGCTGGCTGACGGATGCGGGCGCTTAGCCGGCCCCTCTGACAGCAGCTGGCTCTCTCGGCTGCCTGAATCAGGAGGTGGGAGGTTAGTTCTTGACCTGGGTGCTCGGCGCCGGCCTCCCCCTTCCCCGGCGCGTGCCCACAGCCACATGCAGACACATGCACAGCGGTACACGCCGGAGACGCGGACCTGGGCGTGCACGGCAGCCCCACCGCCACCTTGCTCCCCAGCTTGGCCATCTGTCTGCCGGGCCTCCCCTCTCCCCAGCCGCTCCTCTCCCCACACCCCCTCCGCCCCAAACTCTGCCCAGAACCTGAGTCGTCCTGGTCCTGTGTGGACTCCTGGCGTGTGTGTGTGTGGAATGGCCCACCCTTACAAGCTCCGTGCCCTCGAGCAAGCCTCTCCTCGTCTGTGAGCCCTGGATCCCTCACCTGTAAAATAGGGAGAATCGTGTACCTGCTTAAAATTGAACAATGCAACTTATGTAAAGAGCTAAACAGAGTAAACATAGAGTCCACCCTCCATGGGTTTTACCTGTGCTGGTGATGATTACATGCAGGGCTTAGAACAGTGCCTGGCATGCAGCAAGGGCTAGGGAAGTGTGCGGTCACCATTACCATCCGCATTGTCGCTGTCATTAATACCCCCTGTTCTCAAATTTCTGGCCAATTGTAGGCCAATTCTTGCTCATGACCCTGAATCCTCCTTTATCCCGTGATGACAGTGACAGAGACAATGACAGTAAAGGGGAATTCTTTTCATTTTCCCTGAGGCTTTGAAAAGAGGGCAGACATGGTAAATGGAAGGCTCATTGCTTTCTGAGCGCCTTGATAGAGTTGGGTGTGGCCAGTTAGAGCCCGGAGCTGGGAGAGTCTGGGGGGGCCGTGCTCTCTGCTCGGCACAGGGAGAGGATTTGAAGCTCCTGGGGGCATTTGGTGGGAACGAAAGAGACAGATGGCCAAAGGCTGTGTACTCCACTACAAGACCCTTCTCTGTGACCCCAGACCCTCAGAACAGTTGCTCACAAAATGCTTGCCATCCTTGGCGTTCGTGGACACCCGGTGGAGCCCAGTACAGGGGCTGGACTCCCTGGATTTCACTCTTGGGCTGGCTCAGGGCCCTGTGGGGACACAGGAGGTGGAAGCAGAGGGGACTGAGGGAGCATGGCCTTTCCCTCCACGGCCCACTCCAGAACGAGAAGAAATCATGAGGAGGCTGAGGACTCGCACAGGCCGGACAACGCAGCAGCGAGCGGAGAACAAGCTCTCCGGGGCACAGACAGCAACATCAGATGCGCCCGGGCCACGTGCCCGGTGCTTCCCGTGTGCCCCCCACTGCGTGTGCTGCTCATGTGGGAGGTGCCGCGCGCCAGAGCACCTCGGTGCAATCCTGGCATCTCTCTTTATCAGCTATTTGATCTCGGGCAAGGGACTCAACCTTTTTGTGCCTCAGTTCCTCACCCATAAAATGAGGGTACTTCTCGGGTGGTTGCGGGATTAGATGAGTTCGTTCACGTGATATGCTTGCAGCAGTGCCTGGCACATGGGAGATGCTCCGTAAGTATCAGGTATCAGCGGTCATTACTGCATTTTATCCTCACGAGCACCTTATGGAGTAGATGTTCCGAGTATGTGCACTTTATGGATAAGAAAACAGAAGCACAGAGAAGGTAAATAACATGTCCAAAGTCACACAGCTGGTAAATGGTATAGAGCCAGAGGCTCAGAAGGTGAATCTAGATGAATAATATTCTTTATTTCTGGCAGGATCTTAACTCTGTGTGACCTTGGGAAGGTCACTCCCCATGTGAGCGATTTGGAAGATGTTCAAGGATGCTTGTGACTCCACTTTGTACGTCCCTCTGGACAGGTAAACTGACTGTACCCTCCTTCTCTGCAGGGGCAGAATCTGTCAAGGTGACCGGCATATGTGGAAAGAACAGAGACTTGGAATTAGGGGTCCTGTGTTGTCCCAGCTCTGTCCTAGACCAGCTGGGTGACCTTGAGCCAGTCACTTTACTCCTCTGGATCTCAGTTTCCCCTCTACAATGAAGAGAGCAAAAACCAATCTGAGAAATGTCACTGGGATTCTGTATGTGACAACTGAGCATATGCAATGAAAGAGGGGACCACATGTCTCCCCAAGGGTCCCCGAGTTACCATGCCCACTTGTAGAAGCAATAGATACAGGAACATGGACGAAGCGTCCTACACGGGATGAGGGTCCTAATGTCACCCCATTTGGAACTACCTTGCTCGGCCCGTATACCTGCCATCAGGACACGTGCTCAAGTGCAGCAAAGCATCCAGTTCCTTGGCTTGGCCTTCGAGTTCTTTCTCCACCTGCCTCCAACCAGCCTTCCCTGCCTCACATCTCACCATTGCTCCACCCAGTGATCCAGCCCCTGGGACCACACACGGTCCCTAAAGCCACCACAGGCTTCTGGCCTCTCCCCTCCCCCTGCCTTTGCAGATGCTTTTCTCTCTGCATGGAATGCTCTTGCTTGCTTGGTCATCTCATACATCTCATTCTTCAAGATGCAGCTGGAGTCACCTCCTCTGGGAAGCCCTCCATAAATTATTCAGTCTTTCTTCAGTGTTTTCAGGACCTTGTTCTGTTAGTTCTGCTACAGCTCTTATCAAGTGCATTATTATTGGCTGCTTCTGCCCATCACGCCCAGCCCTCTGGGGCCTTGAGCTGCTGGAAGGCAGGAAGTACTTCCGATCTGTGTTAACGCTGGGTGCGTTACTACCTTCTGGGCTTCAGTTTCCTCACCTGTGAAGTGGGGCTGACAGTATCTAATTTAGATGAAATAATACAGGTAAGGCACTCGGGCATAATGACCATCTCTGGATCTGTCACAGTGGACCTTGGCAAATGTGGAGGGAATCAATGAATGATCCCTGGGAGAGTAAAAATAAATAAGTAAATAAATAAAAATAAAGCTAATGAGCATCCATTAAGCATTTTCAATGCGTCAGGAAGGCACTGGGATCAGAGCTTAACATGCATTATCTCCTTGAAGCCTCTTAACAACCCTTTAAGGGAGGGAGTATCATTAGCCCCATTTTACAGATGAGCAAACTGAGGCTTCAGCAGTTGAGGACCTTGATGAAGGCTGCCCAGCTAGCAGGAGCGGGAATTCACAGCTGCTCAATGTGGAATGAATGACTCACTTGGGGGTGGGCTGGGAGGACCACTGATTTATATCTTGTCATCAAAGGGTTTTAGAGCTGGAGGCTCTTGAAGACAACTTAACCCTGAAGTTCTTAGCTTGGGGAGGGTCCATGGATGGGGAGACTGATGGGCTCCCAGACCAAACAGATAAGGTCCCCATCATGCCCAGTGGCTTCCGGCCCCTCCATCTGCTGTCAACCCTCCCACGTCACCCCAGTCCCAGAGCTGCCCAGCTTGTCCTCTCTTGGCAGCCCTGCCAGGGGTCCTCTCCCAGTCCCCCCTGAGACTCCAGAAGGCTCCACAGTCACTGGGAATGGCCCTATCTCCTACTCTGGGCAGGAACAGAGCTGACAATTGGGGCCATTTCCTTCTCTGTTGGAGATGTTGGGAGAAGGGGAGAGCGACTGGGTGAGGGAGAGAGCCCGGCCGGCGGGCTTCTGATAATGACAAAAATAACCATAGTATCAAAGGCTAACATTTATTGAACACCTACTATGTGCCAGGCTCTGTCCTAACCACGTGACACATGACCGCTTTTTGTCCTCACAACTCTTCGAGGTAGGTTCTGTTATGAGCCTCATGTGACACACGAGGGAAGTGAGGCCCAGAGAAGTGAGGTAACTTGCCCAAGGCCAGGCAGCTGGGAAGTCAGTATCAGAGGCTCCACCGTTCTGGCTCGGTGTCCTTGGACGGGCCACAGCCACTTCTCTGGGTGGCCTTCTCCATCTGCTGCCTGCAGGGCCCCACCTCATGGTTTCCGTGACGACTAAGATGGTCTCTGTATAGTGTCCCAGCACACAGTAGGCGCTTAGTAAATGAACAGCCTTCCTTCTCTCTTAACTCCGATGGGGGAGACCTGGGAGGGGGGACACCTCAGCAGCACCCTCCCTCCAGAGGTCGTCCCCCAGCTGGGAGTGGGTAACCCGCCCCTTCACACAGCAACGCCGCTCCATCTCCCCCTCTATCCCGAGAGCCACGCAGTGCCAGGTCCCATTGCAGTTTTAATGACGTTGCTGGTAATTCCGGCACGTCTGGGCGAAAGCTGCACCACGCATCACCCCACCCCGGGGCGGGGCGTGGGGAGGTGCGTCGGGGAGTCCATCCCCCTACAAGTCCCCCTCCTGTCCGGCCGCCCTCGGAGGGTGGGAGGGCTGGGGAAGGGGCTGAGCCGGGGAAATGCTTCGTCCTGGGGCCCCGTCGGGCCCTGGGTGGGCCGGGAGGCGCGCCCCGACGGCAGGGCGGGGGGGGGGGGGCGGGGCGGGCGGTAGGCTAGGAGGCCTGGGCCTCGTCGTCCGCGCGGTGGCCCGCGTAGAGCGCGGCCAGGGGCCGGAAGCGCGGGCCCCAGCCGCTGAGATAGGCGAAGTCCTGCTCGGAGCCCGAAGAACCGCTGTGCAGCGAGCTGAGCGAGGCGGCCGGCGAGTCCGCGCCCTCGAAGGCGTAGGTCTGGAAGGCGTCGTAGGGCGGCACTGACAGGTCCCCGTCCGCCAGCGCCACCTTGCGGCTGATGAAGTCCCTGAACACCGAGAAGTCCGGCTCGGGGCTCGGTGGCCCCTGCGGGAGCGAGTGGCGCTCTGAGGGCAGGCGGGCCTGCGGGGGGCTGCCCGCGCCCCCGCTCCCGCTCGGGCCCCCGCCGCCGCCGCCGCCCCCGTCGCCGCCCTTGAGCTCGCCGCCGAAGTCGTAAAGGCTCCGCAGCGCCGACATGTCGTAGGCCTCGGTGTCCTGCTCGCCGCCGCCCTCGTCGTTGTATTTGATGACGTTGTCCCGCATGTCCTCGTCCTCGTCGGAGCTCAGGTGGCTCTTGTGGTGGCGCCTGAGGGTGAGGATCAGCAGCACCAGCACTGCGGGGGAGACAGAAGGGGCAAGTGAGGGCTGAGGCCTGCCTAGGACATTCCGGGGACCCCTACCCCCCACCCCTCACACACAGCAATGCTGGCCCAGCCTAACCGCTGGTGCAAATTTCCTAGATTTCTGTGCAAAAAGACGTTTCCTACGGTCAGAACTGCACTGGCTATATGGGTAGGTAGTGAGCTACCCATCTTGGGAGGTGTGCAAATCGAGGCTAGACCACCGGGCTGCGGTGGCAGTACTGACGGCAGTGTTAAGAGATTTCATGGGTGTTGGGGGCTCGACCCAACCTCTGATGTCTCCATCCTCAACTCTATGAAGAGATACAACTTGAGAGGTCTCTAGGCTCTGGGGGGTGCAAAGGGGGCAGTTGAGGGGCAGATGGGGCTGGGGGAATGAACGATGTCTTGAACCTGACTTCTCTTTTACCCTCGCTCTCCTCTGTCTATTCCAGAAGTCCTGAGCACCTTCTTAGCCCTTTGGGTCTCAGGTCAAGATGTCCTCTGCAGGAGGCACCTCCCCCCCCCCAAGAGCTCCAGGTCAGGTTCAGTGCCTTCACCTCCAAACTCCCCTGGTGAGGAGTTTCTCCCTCTGTCACACGGGTTCTCAGAGCACAGCTGCTGGACCACCAGCAGCAGCATCTCCTGGGAACTTGCTAGAAATGTGACATCTCGGATCCTGTCCTAGATCTACTGGCAGTCTGTCTTGATGAAGCCTCCAGGTGATGCCCAGGCAGCTCAGGTTTGTGAACCACAGCTTCCCCCACCCCAAACACACACTCTAAACTCCCCCTCGGGGCCCCAGGAAGTGTTCCCCTAGCTCGGTGCCTGGCACGCAGTAAGCCCTTGAAGGGTGCTTGTTGAGTGAATGACTGACTGAAGAAGTGGATGGAGACGTGGTGAGTGTAAGGATGAAGAATGAGAGCACCGCTCCTTCTTTGCTTTCTGCACTTGACTTCCAGGACTCCACATTCTCTCCTCCTCCTGCCTCGCTGATCATTCATTCTCCACCTTCTAAACAGGCTTCTCCTCGCCTGTCTGACCCCTTAACATCAGCCGTCCCTGGATTTGGTCCTTGGGCCTTATCCACACCCCTCTGTGGGTGCTATCCTGCAGTCCATTTCGAGGCTGACCACGCCCACATCTCAGCCTTCAGCTTGGACTTACTTCTCCCCTGAAATCTAGATCGTCCTTCCAGTTTCCTCAACAAGTCCTCTGGGCTGACCAAGTCCTCACACTGAACACGTCTAACCTTGAAATAATCTTCCCCCTTCCCTGCCCTCAGTCTCCCCCATCTCCGTGATGGCAACCCTAACTTTCCTGTTACTCAGGGCTTTGTGGGTTTTTTTATTCGTAGATGGATCCCAGTGCCTGCAATAGTTTAGCACATGGGATTGTGGGGGTGGGGGGGACTCGCTGGATGGATAAATAAGGAGCTGATGAACGATTGAGAGAATTAAATGGGTAGGTGAGTGGGTGGATGGAGAGACACACGCTGGGTACCATGCCAGGCACTGGATTCTTCTTGTTGCTCCTAACATCTGCAACCAGGCCAGCGGCCAGAGCCAGCTGCTAGGGCCATGGGGCCGGGTTCCAGCCCAGGACCTAACAAGGTGGCACATGACAGGGAGGGGGGTGGGGCCCGGGAACAGGTCCGGAGGGAGGGAAGGTGTCAGGAGAAAAGTGGGATAGATGGATGGACAGCTTTCGGAGCGGAGGCTGGGAGCTGCAGAGGGGGATGCCTGAGAGAGCAGATGGTGGGGAGTGCGGGCGGCGGGCAACAGATGTGCCAGGCCTGATCAGCGATTCCGCCTGTCACCTTTAGAACACTGATGTGCACTTTCTTCGTTTGTGGGCAATTAGGCAGAAATTTGTTTGCACTGCCTCGGAAAATGAAACCGCTGTAAAGTGCACCCTCTGGAAAAAGGGTTTCTGAGCCATGGGCTGGGGAGGGGAGAGAGGGGGGGCCCGGGCCTCGCAGCTAGGAGGAGACTGCCCAGGGCCTCTGCAGGGACCCAAGGAGTTGCGGCTTGGCCACTGGCAGGTTCTCGGTGGGTTGGGCAGTGGCCACCACGCCAGTGGCAGGGGGCAGGCGGCTGACATCTCCCAGGGAACTGAGCAGAGCTGGTATCTGCAATCTGGACCACTCTTGGGTTCCCCGAGCTCTGGCTGGTCGCTAAAGTCCAGCAGCCAGAGCGGAGGTGAGGCCTTTCTGCTGTGACGGGGTTGGGGGGGGTGGATTTATGGTCCCTGGAATCCAGCTTAGCTCCTAGAACTTGACCTCTTCACTGGCGACACTTTGTGGGTTCCACTGGCTGCTGATGGGGTTGCTACCAGAGTAGATTTTGCCTCCCCAAATGTCTTAAGATTTTGCCCCAGCTGCCCCCGGGGTTTTGCCCCAGCTGAGATTCATAGAAGGTGGCGTAGTTAAAGGGAACACAAGGTGAGGAGGCCTGATTTCCAGAAGACTATGTACCCTTATGTAAGCCACTTAACCCCTGCGAGCCTCACTTTCCTCCTCGGAAAAATGGGGATGAAACACCTGGCTACATGGTTGTGAGGAACACAAGAGCCTTTTTTCGCTAGAAGGACTTTACTAAAAGTCCTACATGGAGCATAAAAAAGGACGGTGGACATGAGAGATTTTTTAAATAATATGCTTGTTTTTAAAAACGTAGAGGGTGGCCAACATGCAAGGAGTCTCAGGTGGGGCTGACATTTTCTGGAATTGGTGGTGGGGCTGCTCGGTTCTTAGAAGACTTGTCACGGGACCCATACGCTAGAGCTCGGACATCATTTGGGCCGCCCTTCCTGGTGGGAGAGGGAAGCTGAGGCCCCCGCGGGGGTTCCCGGGAAGGACATCCAGGGCCCCAGGGTGAAGGCCAGCAGGGCGGGGGCGTGGCTCTGGCCGGACTCACCGACCAGGATGAGGACGCAGACCAGGAGCGCGATGAGGGCGCCGGGGCTCAGGGAAGTGGCCATGACGAAGGCTGTGGTGTTGCAGGACTGGATGGTCCCCGAGCTGTCACAGCCGCAAATGCGGATGGTGAGCGTGCCCGTGCTGCTCAGCGTGGGCGGCCCGCTGTCCACCACCAGGATGGGCAGGAAGAACACGTCCTGCTCCTGCCGGTTGAAGCCCAGGTGCTGTGTGTGCACCGCGGCCGTATTGTCTGCTCCAGAAAGAGGCAGTGGTGTGTGAGACGGCTTGGCCTCCCCTGTCCCGGCCACCTCCTGATGCCCCCTCGGGATTTGCCTCCCTCCGCCCCGAGCTCTTGCCTCCCAGTGACCCACGGATCTGGTCCCCAATCTCCGCAGCTTCTGCCCCCAGCTGCCTGACGATCCTGCTCCCAGCCGTGTAGCCCACAGTTCTGTCCTTAGCTGTCACAAGATGCTATTCCCAGCAGTCTCAAGATTCTGTCTTCAGCTATTCCAAGGTTTTGTCCCCAGCTGTGCCAAGGTCCTGTCCCCAGCTTTTCCAAGATTCTGTCCCCAGCTGGGCCAAGGTCCTGTCCCCGGCTATGTTAATTTTTTTCCCCTCATTCATTTCAACGGCCTTCTTTTGTTCTACCCCAGCTACCCAATGCATCCTGACTCTGGGGTCCTGGGGTCCTTGGGTTGTGGCTTACTGGGCCCCAGACAAGTCCTGGGTCACGGACAAGACTGGGAATGTCTTCTCTCGCATCTGGCTTTGGCTGAGGGAGCTTTCTGTCGGGAGTCTAAGAGGCTGAGCCTGCCGGGCTGGGGGCATGGCCTCTGGGGCCTCATGAGGGGACTTGCGTGCACCAAGGTCTCCTTTCTACATGTGCGACCAGAGAGGACAGTGAACTAACACAAGTCATATTCATGACACCCCTTCAGCCAGCTGCTGGGAATGCTAGGCAGGACTCAGGTGGCTCTCTGGTCTCGGAGCATGGGCTTTGGTGACAGGTGGTGCCCACTTTCCCCTGCCCTTCCTGCCTCTCCCACCCTCTCCTGTATGGGTCAGGCCACCCCTGAGCCTCCACCATTTTGATGCCAGCGTGGAGGCTCATACTCTGAGCCGGGCTGGCTGCTACCCCCACCCTTCACAGCCAGCGCCACACAAGGGGGCCCTGCGGGGGGCGTCCAGTCTCCCCTCCTGAGTCCTTCTCTTGCCCTCACAGCCTTCCGGCTAGTCTCTCTGCCCTCAGACTTCAGCAGTCTGGGTCCCTTCCCCAGCTCTGTGGCCCCTGTCAACCCAGTTCAGTTCCGGGCCTCCCCCAATCGTGGACACAATGCAGGAGAAAAGAGCTGACTTGTGACCTTGAGCACGTCTGTGACGCGAACTAGAGGTCCAGCTCAAACAAGATTGGTTATGGGTTGAAGCTCATGTGATGGTATCATGAGGTTTTGTGATATTATTCTATCTACTTTTACACACATTTGAAAATCTCCATTAAAATGTTTAAAAAAAAAATCATGCCGAGTCGATCATTTATTCGCTTGGGAGCTCACTTAGCTTCTCTGGACCTCAGTTTTCTCATCTGTAACTGAGGAAAATAGTAGCACATTGGTGTGAGGATTATGGTGAAATTCATGCCTAACCCTTAGAATGGGTCCCAGCCCCTGGAAATTCTCCATAGATGCCGGCGGTTCTTTCTGTCGCGCCCCATCCCCACGTCCCCTGCGCTGCACCCTGGGCCTGCTCTCTGTGTAGGCTGCCCTGCCTCTCCTCACCACGTTCCCGCTAGCGGGAACACCGTCCCCACCTTCTTGCTGGGCAAATTCCTCATCTGTCACGCTCCAGCTAAATGTCACCTCCTTCCTGTGGCCTCCGTTCTCGGCTTCCCCCTCCCCACTCTGACTACGCAGGAGCCACACACATTTCTGCTACAGTGCTTATCACATGGCGTTAGGTTAGCATGTGCCCGTCTCTGCCCTGGCACGGAGCCAGACTCGAAGAATGACACTTGAATGAACTGCAACTTTTGGGGTAACTGGTGGTCCCGGGTCAGCTCCTCAAGCTCTGGCTTCAGCTGCCTGTCAAAGGGTAAATCAACCCCGGCTGTGAAAATATCTGCCTTCCCAAGGGGAAGAAAGGAGACTCAAGAGCAAGATGAGGAAAAGGGAATGATGTGGGACTCCTCTGCTCTGACTACAGGCTTTCTATGCATCAAGGACTGTGTGGATGCTTTAAATATATAGTAATATTTAATTGTCCCAATCATCAAGAGTTGTGACATTATTTCCATTTTATATGTGTGGAAGTTGAGGTTCAGAGAGAAGTGACTTGTCTGGATTTATCCAGTGAATTGGTCACATAGCTATTTTTCCCATCCACCCATCAAATCATCAATCTATCCATCCCTCAACCATCCATCCATCCATCCATCCATCCATCCATCCATCCATCTATCCATCCCTCATCCATCCATCCATCCAACCATCCATCCTCCAACCACTCATCCATGCAACCATCCATCCCTCATCCACCCATCCATCCTCCATCCATCCATCCATCTATCCTCTGTCCATCCATCCACCCATATCCATCCATCTATCCTCCACCCAGCCATCCAATAAATCTTTATTGAGTAACTACTATGTCCTAGGCACCATCCTAGTCACAGGGAGAAAATAGTGGGGAGCTAAACCAAGCATATTCCTGGGTGTGAGCTTATATTCTAATGTGAGAGACAAATGTTAATTGAATAAACCCACAATTTAGTCTACAATTACAAACCATGGTGAGTGCTAAGAAGGAAAAGTACAGGAAGAGCACCTAACAGAGGACCTGACTTAGTCTGAGAGAGGTCAGGGAGATCTTCTTGGAAGAAGTGGTATTATTGCCTAGTACTGAATGATGAGTTCAAGGAGAGGGGACAGCCGATGCAAAGGCCTCGAGGCTGGAAGAAGCATAATATGCTCAAGGAACTAAAGCAGTCCTTTGTGACTGGAGGGAGGAAGGTGATGGCTCAAGTGAGTCAAGGTCAAACTGGGGGCAGGGTGGGGCAGGGGCTCATCATGGAAAGTCTTAGAGGCCATAGTAAGGAATTGGGGTTATTTTCTTAAAAGCAATGGGAAGCCAGTGATTGGTGGGTTTTAAGCCAAGAAGAGACCGAGCACGACAAATCATCCATTCACACCCTCTGGATGTCAGGATTATCTTAGCCCCTGAGGCTAGAGCGTGAACAAGACAGACGTGGTCCCTGCCCTTGCTGAGCCTCCATTCTATGCAAGGGCGTTTCTAATCTAAAGCACAAGAGTGGATGTGGAAGATGAGTTAGGAAGATACTGTGTGTTTTAGGTGTGAGAGGATAGTGGGAGTAGAGGCACAGAGAAGTAGACAGATTTGAAAAATGAGTGGCTGGCTCTGGCTCAGCCTCAAATTCCCAAGCAAGAACAGAGGAGTGGAGAGGAGATGTTTGTTTCTCAGAGTTGCCGCCTTTGGCCATGGAGGCATATGTTCTCAGAGCTCTGGTCCGTGCCACTCCTCCACCCGACAAAAGGGGATCCCTGGGCATCATCCCTGAACCTCCCAAGCAGCCCTCTGGGGCAGTGGCTGGCTTCACCTGGGGAAGCCACTGGTCACCCCAGCCCCTTTCCCCCCCCTCAGGCAGGAACTGCGCCTAGCATTGTATCCATCCATCTGGCTTGACATACATCAGTGTCAATCCCTGGCTGCAAAAGCAATATTTATAAATCACGTTTCCAAACTGGCTACAAATGTGTACAAAGAAACAGATGGGTTGGGGTAGCTGTTTGTCACCCAGGATATTTATATGGTGAGGAGGAGGGGGCTTGGCAGGCCGTGGGAAGGGGCTAGGGGCCTGGCGGAGGAGCCCTTCCATGGCTGTGCTGAGCTTAACACATGGCTGCCACCCTCGCTCCTGGAGCTCCTTCCAGGGGGTCACGCGGGATGGGAGCTCCTGGCGGCTCCCCGTCAAAGAGAGGCAGTTGGGACAGAACTTCCAGCCCCTCGGGTTGGAAAGACTTGTGAACTTGGCGAGGTCAAGCCAGGGCTATTCGTATCTCCTGGGGCCAACTCAGGATACCACTGAAATAATGCGTGGGCAAGGTACTACCATTTGTTAAAATATTGAAATGCTTCCAAAAAGGTTTAAATAGCTCTGACTCCACGAGCCCCAAGTCCTTCCCTGCTGCCTCAGCCTTCCCCCCATGCCCACCCCCAACTTTGACACAATCAAGCCACTAAGGGGGTAAAGCCTGGCACAGTGGGGGCTCCAGGGTCCTGTTCCAGGTTATTTATGGTCAGTGTCCCTTTCGGTTGGTCATCTGAACTGCACTGGTTGTGAAATATTTTTAATATTACTCTTGGAAATACAGAAGGTCTGGCTTCAGAGGCCACTGAGGTCCCTCCTTTTGGAGGGAAGGGTTGTAAGGGTCTTGGGGGTGATCCCAGACCTGTTCCAGGGTCAGAAAGAACCGACATGACCTGATCTCCTAGTCCTGGTATCCACTCATTCCACCCACGCAGGCCTCCTGTTCCTTGAACATCCTGGGCCTGCTCTCACCTCAGGGCCTTTGTACTTGCTGTTCCCTCCACCTGGATCATTCTTGGTCCAGTTATCAGCATGGCTCACTCCCTAATTTCCTTTAGAGTCATACTCACTATTGATTCCTTCAGAGATGGCTTCCCAGGCCTCCTTATTTAAAATAGCTCCTACTCTTACTCTGCTTTATTTCCCCCTGTTTTGTTTAACACATTTTATGGAACACCCACTATGTGCCAGGCCCTGCTCTAGGCACTCGGGGCCCAGCACTGAACAAAATCAAGTCTAGACTCTTGTCGAGATTGCATTATCTACCCTCCAGCCACTTAGCATCCCCAACATATTATTCACTTGTTTAATTTCTACCTCCCCTCACCAGAATGTCACCTCCATGAGGGCAGGGATTTTGTCTTGTTTGCCACTGTATTTCAGGGTTTAGAACAGTGCCTGATACAGAGGCACAGTGTTTCAGTAAATAATTGCTGAATGCAGGAAATGATGTGTTCCAGGTACTAACAATATACCTTCATTTTGGGGGGCCACCTAGCCATCTCAGGGGGCAGGCCCTTTCAGCCCCATTTTACAGATGACACAATGGAGGCTTAGGAAGTGCAGACTTGCTGGGGTTGCACAGAGAGCCCCCAGCTGAGTCTGGCCTGGGACCCAGGGCCCTCACTCCCAGTCCACTGATGCCCTCCACCCCCCCCAACCCCCACCCCCAGTTCAGTGCTCGAAGGCTCAGACTTTGGCTTCTTGAGGAACTTGCTGGGGCACATCTCACAGTGGGATCAGCTCAGACTGGGCAGGGCAGTCACTTTCAAGGTGGCGAAGGAGTGAAAGCAGGAAGCACGCTGGATCTGAGACGGGTGGGTTGGAATCCCAACCTGCCGCTGACCCCGTATGGCCCTGGGTGGGTCCCTTTCCTCCAAGAGTCTCGGTTTTATCATGGGTAAAATAGGGGGGGGGGGTAAGGAAATCATCCCCCAGGGTGGCCGTGAGGATGCAAAGAGAAACATGAGTGGGATACAGCGCTTTTTAAACTAAAGGGTGGGAGTGTGTGCACGTGACTTATTTCAATCTTCAGTTAGACCAGGGGGCTCTTTCCATCCAGGACTCTGGCCCACCCACTCCTCATCTGTTCCCTCTCTGTATCTTTCCATTCTCTTCTCTTGGGGTGCCCCCTCTCCACTCCGCCCACCCGCCCCCGGCTTGTTCTTCAGGGTTTAGCCAGTGGGCTGGGGAACAGCTCTAGCTTGACCCAGATTTTCTGTGTGATCTTGGACCCAACACTGGCCCTCTGGGTGCCTCAGTCTCTCCACCGGTAATACGGGAAGGGGAGGGGAGGCTAGGCCCCTCCTTTGTGCATCCTAGGATTTGGTGGTTCAGAGGTAACTCACCTTGGATGTCAAGCAGGGAGAAGTGAGGGTTGCTGGGAGCTTCGGGCACCAGGCGGAAATAGAAGCGGTGCCCACCCTGAGGCTCATCTCTGTCCACCACGCTGATGGTCTGGATCAGCTGAAGGGGGAGGATGGGGCAGGGAGCTGATGTGAGGCCTAGTCCACACTGGACCTGGGTAGAGGGTGTCCCAGCCAGTCCCAAGAACCCCCAGGCCCCAGCCCCTCCGCGTACCTGTCCTGGCTTTGCGTCCTCACACACGGCTGCCTCGTAGGGAGTGGCCAGCTCTGGGGGATTGTCGTTCACATCCAGGATTCGGATTCTTAGGGATGCCCGGGAGAGCTGGGCATGATTGTCTGCAGCGAGAGCACAGGAGCGGGGTGAGCGGCACCAAGTGTGAGACCTAGACAACCCCCCATCTGCCATGAGGACAAGGCGAGGCAGTGGGGTCACATTGAGAGATGTGTGGGTTGACCAGGCAGGGAACAGGATCCGGACTGAGGACAACGGGCATGAAGGGGTCACCACCATCACTGCCGTCACGGTCACCACCACCGTCCCTGCATGACCACCACCGCCTCCACCACCATAACCCTCAGTGCCACCTGGCGCCATCGTCAACACCATCCCCACCACCACTCTCGCAGGCACCAACCTGCTGGCTTCGCCATTAGACCGTTGCCATCCGAATGATGGTGTCCCCAGTGCCCTATCCAAGGCACCACCCTCCTCATCTCTGTTATCACAAACACCAAGGCCATCCCCATCAGCGCCCTTACCAGCACGGCCAGCAGCACCCACGTGATCACTCTCTCTACCACAAACACCATTACCAGCCCCGCCCTTACTACCATTACCCCCCATAAACACCCACGTCACCATCACATAGCTACCCCCGCTCCCACCCCCGGCAACACGATCATCACCACTGCCGTCAACCAGCATCCCATTCTCGACATCCCATCACCATCAGGGGCACAGAACGCACCCGGAGCATCCACATCCATTATTTCAGGTATCCATGTGGAAATCCTGTGCTTGGGTCAGTTTCTATCCCCTCTTTGCAGAAGAGAAACAAAGCATGAGAAACTTTAAAGAACTGGTCAGTTGACAACGGGGCTTCCAAACCTCTGCTCTTTTAAGACCTGATCCTGAGAGGGCAAGACAAGTCCACTGGCTGTAGGTCTTGGCCAGGGTCTTCAGCAAAACCATGACACCCCCACCTGTGAAGTCTTTGAGGTCAAGGTCCCTGATGTATTAACCCCCGGGTTCCAGCACTGTGGGGTACAGCACAGAGTAAGTTCTAATACATTTGTTGAACGAATGAATGAAGCCTGGAAGAACATGGACAGAAAGAGGCTTGAGTTCCAGGCATGGCTCTGTCCTTGACCCAGTGTTTGGTCCTCCCTCCCTGATGTCCCTTTCCACATTTGGAAAATGAACAGAGCACAGTGATTAAGAGTAAAGTCTCCAAGGCAAGTTGTTCTGATCTCAACTCTGCCACTTAGTAGCTGTGTGGTCTCTGCCAGGTTACTTGGCCTCTCGGTGCCTCTGTTTTCTCACCAGCAACATGGAGTAATGGGTTGGTTAAGAGGAAAGATTGCGTTCCTATCTGCAAAGCATTTTTAAGCTGTGTATACAACACATAGCAAGTGCTATCTAAGGATTTGTTAAATAAACAGACATCCTTAAGGGTCCTTTCAGCAATGACATCAAGTGATTGAAGGATACCTTGTCCCAGCCTGGCCTGTCTGAGCAGCACCTTGAATGTTGGCCTTTTCTGCCCCTTGTCCCCTGGACCTCTTGGGTGCTCATTGGTGCCCTGCTCTCAGCTATCTTAGTCGTGAGTTCGTTACCGACAAGTTCTATGCACCAGCGACCTCAAGGACTGGGAGAGAGGAAGCCACCCCCTTCTAAGCAGGGTGGTTAGGCGTCTAACCTGGCGGGCAGGGAGCTCTTTTGGGGGCAGCCTGGAAGCTTCCAAGCAGCCAGGAACCCCATGAGTTCTGGGAGGAGTGGGGCTGCCTCTTTCTCTGATCAGGGCCGCCCGCCGTGGCCCGCAGCTGCTTGTGTGTTGATAAGGAGAAATGGGATCCGGAGGCAGGTGGAGCCACCTCCTAGGGTCAGGGAAAGGAGGGGGATGAGTCCTTAATTAACGCAGACCCCAGCCCCTCTCTGGAGCTCCCCTTAGCCAGGGGCACCTTATCTTCTCAGCTCACCCAGATCTGCAGCTTCAGTGATTAGAGGGGGCTTTTCTGGGGGGGGTGAGAGATCGGAGTCGTGACTGGGAATGCCGGGCAAGCCGTTATTTTTAAGAGTCTGTTGCTGAAGAACTTAAACAGACAGAAGGAGGGTGCGTTTGGGAGGAGGGGAGGTGGGGAGAGTGAGGCCCGCTGCCAGGACCAGGCACCTCTCTCCTCGCTGAGGCAGAGGGAGGGGGCGCAGGGGCCTATGCGCCATGCAGAAGGGCGATCCCAGAGCAGGGCCAGCTCCTCTGAGGGGGACACGCTGCAGGGGGGCCGGGTCCACTGCTGGCGAGAACCCCACTAATGAGCCATTCCTTTACAATCTGTTGGGCCTCTTGTGGCTGCTTTTTTTTTTTTCCTAGCTTTATTGAGATAGGATTGACAACATGGTATAAGGTGTGCAATGTATTGATTTTATACGTGTATATATTGTGGGATGTTTCCCACAATCAGGTTAGTTAACACGTCCTTCACCTCACATAATTACCTTTTTGTTGTTGTCCTGCTCCTCTTTTATTTTTTTCGAGGGGGGTGGGGCCGAGGGAGAGAGAGACTCTGAAGCAGGCTCCTCGCCCAGTGCAGAGTCCGACGTGGGGCTCGATCTCATGACCCTGAGATCATGAACTGAGCTGAAACCAAGAGTCAGACGCTTCACCGACTGAGCCACCCAGGCACCCCTCTTACCTCCTTTTTAAAAATGCTACAGGTCACCTCCTGGGAAAGCCCTGAACCCTTTGGCATGGCTGTGGATCCCAGGTCTCAGAGGCGGGGCAGCCGAGTGGGCAGGGAAGGTGTGTGCCTCTATGTTGCCTAGTTACCACCTGCAGAACTGATCCCAGGGACCCCTGGATTTGGGGCCGGCCTGGAATCCGCAGAGCCTTGTGTGCCCATGACATCGCTGTGGGCTCCAGCCTGGCTGCACATTAGAATCGCCTGGGAAGGCTTTGAAACAGTGATGCCCAAGGCGTGGTCACTGAGGTTTTTTAATGGCTGTAGGAATCTAATATGTGGCGGGGGGTTGCCAACCACCGGCAGGTGGGGGAGTCCAACCTGTTACCTTACTTCTGGTGGACTTCCTTTAAACCCCTCCTGATCACAGTTAGCCGCATTTGTGATCACTGCTAATGACTAATTCATAAGTTTACCATCTTAAATGTTTCTGGGATAAAACAAAGACTCCATCAATTAATTAATCTTCACCCTGCGCAGGACTTTCCAATCGATAACAAATTTTCTTATCTATGACCTCATTTGATCCTCAAACAACCTGTAAAGAAGGTCTTGTTAAACCCATTTTGTAGATGAGAAAACTGAGGCCCAGAGAGGGCCAGGACCTTGCCCAGAGCCACAAGGGAGTCAGCGCAGAGCTGGGTTGGGTCCTGGGTCTCCTGCCTCTACGGCCAGTGCTTGGTCTAGATCCGAGGCCAGTAGGCCCTCCTGCTGCCTGGGTATCTGTCCATCCAGCACCGACTACTGCTCGGACCCAGGTCCAAGCGGCCCTTCCCCGACGCCCAGCAGCAGGTGCCCTCTCCCAGGGCTGGGTCCCTCATGGGTCCCAACCCCCCTCTTGGCATCTCAGTTCAGCTGACTGACATGCAAATTAGTTTAATTATTTCTTCTTCTAAAATAAATTATATTTTGCAGTAGCTGCAATATGTTGTGTCAGGCAAAATTGCATTCAATATTTTTAAACTAATTGATGCAGCCTTGAGGAAGGCTGATTGACAGCCCAGAGCTGAGCAGGCCTGCAGCCTTAACCGGTTCCTAGATGAAAATTAAATGTGCTTCGGCCTGGGGCTCCCTCTCTGAGCTACCTTGCTAGGAAACCAGGAAGGTGGCAGGTGAAACCCTGGGGGTCTGGGGGCCGAGGAGGTGGGCTGTTCAGTGGGCGCCTGGACCGGGGGCGGGAGCACTGCTGTGCAACGTGGGCAGGTCTCCCACCTTCTCTGGGCCTCGGAGACCCCGACGTATAACAAACGGCCAGGGCATCGGACTGAGCCGTTTGGAGCTGAGGCTGCTGGGTTTTGCTGACGATTATGAATTGAGCGCCTCCTTTGTGCCAAGGACATAACAGTGAGCAAGACCTATACGGTCTCTCGGTCTCGAGGCAGGGACAGACAGTACTCCAGACTCTGATAAGAGCTAAGAGATAAAAGTTCAAGAGCACGGTGGGTGCAGGGATGTTTTCCCTGGAGTAAGTGACCTTTAGGCTGAGATCCAACTAGGAAGGAATCAGGTGAAGGGGATGGGAGGGAAAGAGTGCCCCCAGGGAATGGGGACAGCATATGCAAACACCCGGGAGGAGAAGAGGAGGAGGCTGTAGATAATGAGACTCTGGATCCCTTCCCAGGAAGACCCCAGCCCCTGGCAGGTACTCACATGGTATCTCAACCAAACTAGGCTTGGAGGGCTGGGGGCCACTGGGAAGGGAAGAGGAAATGGGAGCTGGCCTGGTGACTCTGTTAAGGGCACTGCTAGGAACGTGCTCCTTCCCAGAAAGACATCAGCAAACACATGCGAGGCATGAGCTGTGGGCCAGGCTCTGTGCTGCCCCCTTTCCTCCTGTCAACTATTGTGGGAGGTGGAGACTAGTATTATTGACATTTTACTGAGGAGGAAACCCCGTTCAGAGAGGTAAGGAACTTGCCCAAGGTCTCATAGGGAACAACTAATCAATCTGGGACTCGAACCTGGGTCTGGTTCCAGAGGGGAAGTTTCTAATCATCAGATGGTACTGCCTTTCTTGCCATCTTTAGCCGTCAGAGTCCCACTTGCCTCAACGTCCTAAACGTCCTAACAAATGTCTCTGCCTCCTCCTGGAAGCTCTCCCTGACTGCCTCAGTCCCGGGCCATCAGAATATTAGCCCAAGTCCTACATGCCCACATGCCCACCTGCACGTGATCTTCCAGCTATCTCCCTGGCCTTGTCCCTCACTCCTCTCTTGAGCTCTGCTCCAAGTTTGCTCCGTTCTCACCTTCAGATCTTTGCCCAGATGCCTTCTCAGAGAGCCTCCCCTGATGACCTTCTTTAAATGTGTCCCTTGCCATCCCACCAGACACGCCCTTCCCTGCTTTCTCTCCATAACACTTACCCAATACCCGCTATGTCT